GGAGGACCCGGCCGAGCGCGGCATACGGGCCTCGTGGAAAAGCGCCGCCGCGGCTGCGGAGCTGAGCGCGCCCCGACCTCGACCCCCTACCTCAACCCCCGACCCAGGCTTCGGGCTCTCAGGCTTTGAGCGTCGAGATTTTCTGGACTTTCTGCAGGAGCAGCTGAACTCGGGTTCGAAACGATGGTCCCACCAACTGAATCAGAAGCATAACTCTATGCCTTTGAAGGAAAACATTCCTTTCGATGCCAGTGAGGCCATTTGTTCGTAGTTCCCCTCCTGTGACTATGTTTCCTTTTTTCCCTTTCTGCCTCGTTTTTTTCTTATGGCTATATAAAAAAACCTGCTGAGATACACTGATCTACGTGTTTTCAAGATATTAATCCATGTCTTTTAAAAAAAGATGGATCGTAGCCAGAGGCGAAAGTGGAGTTGAGGGATGTGTTTCTTCTCTTTCTTTCTCTTTTTAATAGGAAAGACTTGAGCCTTTCTTAGGTACGGGGGAGTGAGTGCCAGAAGGGAAGGAGAAGTTAAAGACAGGGGAGAAAGGGGTCCTTGACTGAATTGGGGGCTGGAGGGTCAGCCTAATAACCAGAGGAAAGGGAGATGCGCCGGGACAAGGAGCTAAAGAAAATCTCTTCTGATGGTTTCTAGTTTCTGGGTGAAGAATCCAGTTTCTGTGCTGAGTGTGAGGATCGACGTTTAGAAGAATAGCCAGTTTGTGAAAATTTTTCCTGAAGAGCGTGGAAAACATACACGGAAGCTGCCCCGTGGGATCCGGTAGCCTGAGGCCTGGTCAGGTCCAGGTCCCAAATATAAAGGCCTCTGTGCAGCAAAGGGTTAACTCAGTAGGCCCTGGCTGCTCAAGCTCTGCACATTCCAAAGAGGTCTTTTCTGGACAACTGGCCTTGAGCAGCTCCTGGGAGGTGACCTCTGAGCCGTCAGAATAACAGCCTAGTGAGATGCTCGAGACCCTGGGCCCTACTGATTGGCAGACTTTTGGAGGCTGCAGCCCCTGTGTAAAGTCAGGCAAGCCTGTGTGCTGGAGCTCCAGCGAATACTCTACACCCCAAGGCTTGGGCGAGCTTTCTGTTTGGCAAATGAAAAATACGAAAAGATATTTATCCAGCTGTTATTTCTGGGGGCTGGCCTGGAGCAGACTTACATGCCAGTCTTTATACACTTCTATGTAGTTTTTATTTTTCACAACCAGTATTATTAAAGTTATTCACTGCTCATAATTATAGATATTTACGTGCTAGAAAAAGGGAAAAAGAAAACTATTAAGGGCTCATCTCTGGACATTTTATCAAGGTGCCCTAAGCGTTCTCTCAGCTTTCTTGGTTTCCTGCTGGAAGTGAGCTTCCCTTCCTCAGCTCCCTAAAATGTAACTACAAGCTCCTTCAAGGACGGGAGTCGACACATCTGAGTTTACTGAGCACCTGCGGAGCCCGGCTCAGTAAATACCTGCAACTGGGAGAATAAAAACGCCTCAATTCCGTAGATTTCTGTGCTTGCACTCTTAGCCGCTAGGTGGCGCCATTTGACCTCCACCGAGATGCATTTTCTGCAACTCCCTGGAGATGGAGAACATGAACAGGGTCCTGAAGGAACGCCGGGCGCTCGGACCAGGCGAGGCTGACTTTAGAGAGGGACCTGGGTTGCTTCCTGTCACGGAGAGCACAAGGGCCCTCCTAGGACTGGCACACAGACACACACACACACACACACACGGAGGCACAGTCTATCTGTTCATTTTATCACCAGCAAACCTACAACCTTGATAAATATGGATTATGCAAAAATCCTTATACTTGCTGTGAGATCGTCACAGGTGTGGTGGCTTGCTTTTTAAGAAGACACCCATCTTACTCAACATGGTCTGAACCTCCCCCAGACTTCCCACCCTTTGGCTGTTTCTCAAAGACTTTTGGCCACAGTCACATATATGATTATCATTTTATCTTTCAAAATACTTTCCATAAATACGTATCATTTTCATTTTTCAGAACACTTACTGAGCAATAGCAGGGGGATTTTCCCTCTTCTGCCCCATCAGCTCCCCATCACCAGCCCAAGACAAGTTCCTCTTTCTGTCCCTAGCCCAGGCCCCCCTGCACCCAATCAGCTGTCGGTAAATGTCTGAGACCTAAGATCTAGGATGGTTATGAAGATACACATAAAACATCCTTTGAGGCCCCCAAATAAAAATATTGGACAAAGATCTAAATGAGTGATAATATAATTCTAATATTTTCTTTGTGTTCATGTGTGGAACGTGGGTGCCTGGAGAGTGGTGAGCTTAGATGTGGCACCTTCTTGAGTGGCACAGTCTGAAGCCAGAGAAAACCTAGATCTGAATCCAGCTGCGCCTGGCCCCGGGGCCTGCCAACAATGAACAGCTACCTTTAGAAAGTTGTTTGGTTTCTCTAACTCTCCATTTTCTCGTCTGCAAACTAGGAGTAATGATGGCAGAGTCCTGGTAAGATGTAACTCATCAGCACGTCTCATCAGTGGGAGAAAGACATCGCAAGCTGAACAGCTCGGAGGGGCCAGGGCGGAAGGCTGAGTGGGTGTGGATGCTACAGGCGCCCTGCCCAGGAAGCTGATGAGCAGGGTAGCGTCACTGAGCGGGATGTATTGAGGAATTCGGGAAAGATGGATCCTAACCACTTACGCTGCGACAACCACACCCTTGAGTCCACTTCTTCGTGCCGAGTCTGCTTCTTTGGGAAGATGTGTCCTCCTTCTCCGTTGTCAGGATCCTGAGGAAATAACTTCAGCTCCACAAATGCTGGGACCAGAGGTGAGTGAATGGAGTGGATGCACCTTTGTTGTGTGGGGCCAGCTTGAGCCACAGACCCAACCGAGCCCCCAGCATTTGCACATATCACATTGTGCGGTGGCTCTTCTGAGAAACACAGGAGGAACTGGCTGTGATGTGCGGCTTGTGTTCTCAGTTCCCTTTCTGACTCAAGGAAAAATTGGTCAACAGAGGGTGGTATGAGTGGAGCAAAGGACACCGCAGACGTCCCCTGGCATGGGACAGGGTGACAGGAACACAGCCTGCAGAGCCCTACTGGTGCCTATCACAGGAAAAGGGACATTACAGGAATAAGAAAACTCTGAAAGTTTTAGAAATACCTTACCCAATTTATTTCCCTTATATCTTCCTTTTTATGCATAAGTCCTAATAAATCCTAAGTCAATCCTAAGAGTGACTTAGGATTTATTAAAAATTTCACTTCTAATTAAGCCTGAAAGACATTGTGTGCTTACTTGGTCATGCTTTTCCTTTCTCGGCGTTCTCCTCAATGGCACATCCTGCAAACCCACAACAGGAAACAGAACTCCTGAGATAAAGTGTCCTGCCCAAGGCTGCACAGCTGGTAAGTAGTGTAAGTGACATTGAACCCAAGCCTGTGGAGTCCTGCCACCTCTAGGTCCAAAGCGACTCTGCCTGGCTGTTAGAACACAGGCTGTGTTAGGGATGTGCTTACGGTCTGGAGATGGGACCACAGTCATCTTCCTGTCACTGTAATGCTATCAGCTCCTCTGAACCGAGGAAGAATGACCAGCCTTGTATTGTCATACCATCAGCGGCCGGCAGGGGGCACTCAACAGCGGATAATTGTCAAGTGGTTCTCTGGTCTAATTAAGGAGTAAAAGTGATGATGTGCTCTCCTGGGGGGGCGGGGGACAAGCTTTCTCCTGCATAATTAGCGGAAGTGCAAACTGGTACAATCTCTTTGATGGATAATTTGATGATATCTATTTTTAAAAACATGACATCCTTTGATATAGCAATTATACTTCTAGTTCATCCCCCAGAAAAATTTAAATAGGTACAGAAGGATGTAGGTGTAAGAATATTCATTGCAGTATAATTTAAAACAGCAAACATTTAGAAATAATCTAATAGTCCATCAATAGAGACTGGCAGATGTCGCCCCTATAGGAAGTGATTTCTGAACCCCCATGTCAGGCCCAGGGCCCCTTCTGTGCTTCTAAACGCCTCACATCTCCCATCTTAAAACCTCTGATAATGAGGCAATCTGCTCGTGCGCCTGCCTTTCCCTCTCCTTGCGGGCGGGGGTTTGGGTTCAGGAGGCCATGCCGCCTGCCACGGAGGGTGAGGCCAGTAGGGGAGGGCGGAAGGGGCTGGCGTGCCGGGGAAGGGCAGGTGGCCATGTGGCTGCAGTCTAGGGGCAGCAGGCTCTCGTGCCTGAGGGCGGCCTGTGAGAGGGAGCTTGGACTTCTCCTGGAGGGCCAGTTCCATCTCCCGGGAAAGCCCTATGCGAAGGAACCAGAGCGTCTTCTCCTTCCACAAAGTCAAGACGGGACACGGGGCGTGGATAGCGCAGCGCCGGGAGTGCGGCTGAGGCCACGTGGGACTCGCCAGGCCCCTCTCTACTCTGCGATGGGAGACACTGTGCCTTGCCTGCTGCCCGGCCCAGATGTGCTCAGGTCAGGGGCCTGGGACCCAGAACTGACAGCGAAGCCGGCAGAAGCAGCTCCCTCTGGGCGCCGCAGCACTTTGCTGCCGTCCATGCTGCTGGGGAGCGAGCCTGAGACCCTCCCCTGCAGCCGGGGGAGCTGGCCCTGTTCCCTGAGGGCACACGGGAACCTCAGGCTGAAGCTGGGTGAGGACACTTCCCCCGAGCGTGGCCAGCAAGAGGGCCCCTGACACTCCCTGCTGTTTGCTCAGTGCGGGCCGGGCAGACCAGGGTCTATGACAGGGCTGAAGGCGGTGGGGGTCTCACAGGCATGGAGGCCATGGACCCCAGACCGAGCCTCATTCTCACCCGGAGGCCTCATCTTCCCCACTCGCATCTGCAGTTCTGAGCGAGGTAGGTGGCGGGGCAGAGCGAGGGGTGCTGCCACTCTCCCTCCCTGGTGAGCGTCTACTTCCCTTTTCTGCTCGCTTACAAAATGATCAACTGACTTTTTTGTGGCTTGAGATCCTTTGACGAAGCCTCTGGGCACTGATGCTAGTGGCTTCCTGTGTGGGCCAGGGTGGCTGAAGCCTCAGGGGACAGACCCCGAGGAGGGAGGAACAGCAGGGGTGCAGCTGGGGCGGGTCACGGGGGAGGGGGGCAGTCTCGGGAGGGAGGTGAGCCAGAGAAGCAGATGCCAGAGCCACAGGGCGCCAGGACTGGATGACAGGGGCCGGCCATGGCCACTGCGGATGAGCACGCGGCCGCGGAGATCAGTTCACTCCATTCTTCCTTTCTAACTTTAAGCGAGCACCTCTTCCCGCAAGGCTCACTGGTGCCGGGGTGAAGAGGCTGCCGATCACCCACCCCAAAAGGCCAGCAGGCGGGGCTTCTTAACGAGACGTCCACATTCTGGTCCCTTCCTACTTCCCGTGTCCATCTCCTGCCGCCTTCTCCCTAAAATACCCCCACCCCAACCTCCAAAACACACATAATTCTCTAACCACCCGGAATGCCTCGCAGGACTCCGCTAGGGTCCCGGATGTCTCCATGGAAACAGTGGCGGCCCGGCCCCTCAATCTTTTGTACATCTCCTGGGGTGGGGCTGCTAGCCCTGCGGATTCCGCTTCCTTCTCCGGACCCCATGTGTTTCCTGGAGCACCTGTCACGTTGCAGTCATTCGTGTGAGTGCTCGCCTGCCTGCCTCCCTGTGTGATTTCAGTGACTCCGTATTGACATGGTGAAGAATAATGCTGGGGAGAATATGATGAAGGATGTCGCTCTGGTTCATCGTCCACAAAGACTTGGGAAATTGGGTTGTGACTGGGCCTCTATCGAGTGCAAGTAGAGGGGGAGGGAGGAGCTGCTATGGGGTCTCGGGCTGGACACTGGAGCTCTGCTGGCGAAGGTCAGGGGCCCAATGAGGACAAGAGCTCCTGGGGACACGTGGCAGCAGCCCTGTCGGAACCCGTAGCTCTGGAAGGCAGATGGGGGACTCGTGAAAACGGGAGCTCACCCCTGGAACTGCAGCTGTCACCGCCTCTCGCTTTTACGGTTCAGGTGTCAGTGAAGTCAGCATACAGGGTGGCCTGTGGGTGGGTTTGTCCCCCACCACTTGCCGGCGTCGGAACGGCTCTTAGGGAAGTAAAAAACTGCTAAAAACTAGAATTCGGCAATTTCAAGGATTTGTCTTAAATTTTCTTCATAAAGATTTCTGGACACAGATGGTACCACTGGTTTCATTTATGGCGAAAGCCAGTACGGCCTGCCCGCGGCTAAGCGGGCGCAGGAGGCACACCCGAGTCTAACCCAATCCAGACCTCTACGCCCTGGGGGTGTGGGAGGCCCGAGGAAAACCCTTCTGCCTCTAAAACCATGGCGAACCCCGCGCTGCGAGGGTATAAACTCATCAGAAATGGGACTGAAAGCCTTGTTTCCAGTTAGCATTTAATCCATTACGAATAAGTACAACTTGCACCTAAAACATCCCAGAGGCTCAATGTCCTCAGTGCTCTGGAGGCCCATGGCCTGCGCAGAGGTACCTGCTGAGCGAGCTGCGGGAAAAGCCCAGGCGACCGAAGCCGCCGCCCAGCGGACACCATGATGGACACCCGGCTTCCCCGTCCTCCCTGGATGCCGCAGGGGAAGGACCGCGGGAGACCGCCCGCCTCTGTGGTCGCAGGCTGCTCGGGCACGCGGTAGAAACAGCCTCAGCCACCGCACCTTATGTGCTTCTGAAAAACCACAGCAAAACAAGGGGCCGCGAACAGGTGGCCTAGTCGCGTCTCAGGGGGCCGGGAAGGACAGACAGGAACGGACGGACCTGGAGAGGGCGCAGTGGCCTCCGCTCAGCTCTGCGCGGGGGAGGTCTCCGGGGTGCCCGGGGTGCCTGGGGTCCCAGCTGAGCGCGGGGCGGGGAGCTCGGGCGTCGCCCTGCGCCCCGGCGAGGCCTGCGCGCCCTGCAGCTCCAGGACCGCCCGGCTCAGGAGGCCTCGCAGCAGCCGCATTTCGCGGAGCAGCTGGTCCACGTCGGGTCCCGGGGCGCCCGCGGGTTGCTCCAGGGGCTCGAGGGGGGCGCAGACGGGGGCGGCTCTGCCCGCGGGGACCTGTGGCCCCGCTGAGGTGGCGTCAGGGATGGAAGTGGCCTCCGGGCCCGACGCGGACCCCAGGGGCTTCCGGGAGGAAGGCGGCTTGTTCCCGGGCGCCCAGGCTGCGGCCTGCGGGTGGGCGGCGGCGGTGGGGGCGTCGCGGGTTGCTCCAGGGGCTCGAGGGGGGCGCAGACGGGGGCGGCTCTGCCCGCGGGGACCTGTGGCCCCGCTGAGGTGGCGTCAGGGATGGAAGTGGCCTCCGGGCCCGACGCGGACCCCAGGGGCTTCCGGGAGGAAGGCGGCTTGTTCCCGGGCGCCCAGGCTGCGGCCTGCGGGTGGGCGGCGGCGGTGGGGGCGTCTC